GTCCCCCTACAGGCGGATTTTGGAAGAAAAATAAAAAATAATCAAAGAATACCCCTGAATAGTCAAAAATAGCCAGAAAATCGTCCCCATCCTATTTTTTGCCTATTTTTGAATGTTCCTCCTGTAGAGGGACATGCCCGACTTACGCCTCGGTGCAGCCGGGCACACTGCTGCGTCTTGTCCAGCCCCCCCGCGAGCAGGACGGTGCCCAGGCGGAGCGCCCTCGCGAGGCTGGAAGCCTCCCTGTCGATCTGCAGCGCCAGCTCCCTGGTGGGGCAGATCACCAGCGCGGTCGGCCCATCCTTCTTGGCCGCCTTCCCCTGCGCGGCAGCGTGCAGCAGGACAGGGATGATGGAAGAAGAAAACGGCGTAAACACACAACCTGTTCGAGCTCCGCGCGAATTTCTTTGATCAGAGCTGGACCCCCCTCCCCCTGGCGCGCGAAGAACGCGCCAGGGGCGGCGCCAGAGACGCCGCCAGGGGGCGCCCAGGCCGATCCAAGAAAAATATGCGCGGAGCTCCAAAAGTTTATGCTCATGCCGTGTTTCTCCCTCTCGAGATGAGGAACGCGAGGGTCTTTCCTGGCAGAGGAGAAACTGCACAGGCACAAATTCTCGGCCCGCGCGAGCGTCCTGCGTCGGCGCCTGACCCCACCTCCCTGGCGCGCGGCGCGGAGGCGCCAGGGACGGCGCCAGTGGCTTCAGCGCCAACCCAAGAAATCCGCCTGGACCTTGGCACGTTACATTAGGCTTACGTTTCGAACGCCTTGAGACCTTCACACCTTCGAAACCTTCGGAACCTTCGGACCTTCGAAACCCTCGGACCTTCGAAACCTTCGGACCTTCGAAACCTTCGGACCCGCGGAACCCTGCACACTTCGAACGTCTTTCTCTCATCTGGCGTCCTCCGCCCGTCTGCGCGAGGCCCACCACGTCCCTGCCGAGCAGCGCGCACGGGATCGCCTGGCACTGCACGGGCGTCGGCTGCGCGAAGCCCCTGCGCCGCAGCACCTCCAGCACCGGCTCGCCGAGGCCGAGGTGCGCCCAGGCGCACACGGGACGGGGCACGGCCTCGCCCTCGACGGACAGCTGCAGCTCCTCCCTGAGCCTGGCGACCTCGGGGTCCGTCATGCTCGCTATGTCGCCGTGCTCACTGTGCGCCACAGGCCGCGCAGCCTCGTACGTGAACTTCGAGTGGTCCACGGCTGGCAGCAGGTGCTCCCTCTCGTCCGGCTCGCTCGGCCCCATGCCGGGGCGGTCTCCCTCGCCCTGCGGGCGCCCAGGCTCCGCGTCTTCCTCCCCGCGGCGCGCCCGACGAGGGGGAGCGAGAGGGCGACAGGCCCCCCCAGAAGGCGGCGGGGCCTCTTGGAAGCCCCGAGAAGTTGTTGCGCGTCTGCGGGGGAGGCCTCGAAGACTTCCCCGAAAAACCCTGGGCCTCCCGAGCCTTCCGAACACGGGCCCGCGGGCCCGCCCCTCCTCGCCTTCCCCCCTGGGCGCTGGCCGCCGGTCCTCCGAGTCCCAGTCCTCCGCCCGCATGGGCTCGGGGGCGTCCTCGGGCACCAGGTTCTCCTGCCGCAGCGAGAGGCGGCGCGTCTCGCGGCGGTACACGATCTCCACCTGCCACCTGCCCCCCGCCTCGGGCGCCTGCGAGGTCACTGTGCCCCAGAGGCCGTTGTCCGCCACCGCGCACGCAGCGGTTGGTGTGGGTCGGGTCCTTCCGCCTGGTGCGGAACAAAAAGTTGGGCCCCGCGTTCATGCTTGTGGCCGTTCCCACAGCAGTGTTTGCACGTACGGGGTCTTATCTCTGCTGTTCGAAGGTACTGCGCCCGATTGCCTCGTCCGCCGCCTTGTCGTCGCCGTCGCCGCACCGTCGCCGCATCGTCGCCGCCTGTCGCCTGGGCCTGGTTGCAGGGTCCGCTACATTGCTGTCACCGTCGCCGCCCTGTCGCCGCCTCGCCGCCACCTGTCGTCTAGGCTCCACTCCGTCGCCACATTGCATTATTTTGCATTGTTTTGCACTGTTGTGCTTTGCATTGCTTTACATTGTTTAGCTTTAAGTGTCTTGTCATTACTGTGCGTTGATGTGCATTGTTTCTGCGTTGTTTTGCATTGTTTTGCATTGCATCGCACTGCGTTGCTCCACTTTGCATCTCTCACTTCATTTATTTCGCACCATGTCGCATTACTACGCAGTGCGTTGCATTACTTTGCATTGCATTGCTTTGCATTGCTTTGCGTTGGTTCGCAGCGTTTTGAATTGCAATGGTTTGCAGTGCTTCGCATTGCTTTGCATTGGTGTGACGTGATTTGCATTGTTGTGTCTTGTTGCGCATTGCATTGCATTGCATTGATGTGTGCAGTATTGCGTTGCGTTGCATGGCATTGCTTTGTAATGCTTGGAATTGCATTGCATTGCCTTGCACTGCTTTGTATTGCGCTGCATTGAGTTGCTATGAGTTGCATTGCTGTGCATTGCTTTGCATTGCGTTGCATTACTTTGCATTGCGTTTCATTGGTTTGCATTGCTCTGCAGTCTCCAGCATTGCTTTTCACTATTTCGCGTTGGGTCGCGTTGCTTTGCATTGATTTGTTTGTATTGATTCGCGCTGCGTTGCTCTACGTTGCACTGCATTGGCTTGCATTGTATTGTATTACTTTGTATTGCTTTGCACTGCTTTGCAATGCTGTGCATTGCACCGCATTGCCCTGCATTCCTCTGCATTCCTCTACATTGCTTTGCCTTGCTTTGCATTGCTTTGCATTGCTGTGCGTTGCCTTGCGTTGCTTCGCTTTGCTTTGCATTATTTTGCAATGGCTTGCACTGTGTTGCCTTGCTTGACATAGCTTTGCACAACGCAGATTGCACCCCATGGATTGCACCATACAGTGTACCGCATTGATTGTACCACCTAGGTTGCACCGCATACATTGCAAGACATCACTGTTTGGGCCCCACGATGGCTAACATCCTTGCTTTTTTGCATTCCAAGCAGAACCTGGTCCAAAACACAAAACTTGGTGAAGGAGGGTCCGTGAAACCTTCCCCCTCGCCCCCCCCCCACCCGTCCGGGCGCGGTGGCGGAATCGCGCGGCAGCGCAACTGGATACTCGGGAGACCCCTTCAGGCCAGTCAGCCGCACGTTCGTGCCTTTGCGCAGCCGCCTCGCCTCCCCGTCGCGCGCGCCCGTGCACGCGGCGACCGCGGGCGTTAGGTTCTCCGGTTTCAATGCGAAGGTCGAGCGCACCTCCACCTCCCAGCGCATCTGGTCGTTGGGGCTCTGGGATAAGATGGTGCCAGACGCGCCGTTGAGCTGCGGGGCAGACTGTAGCCCGCGAAGCTGGACGCGAGCACCCTTCTGGAGCGAGACGCCGAAAGGGGAGGGCTTCACCTGCAGGTTGTCGGCCTTGAGCGAGATGACCCGCTTGACCTCGACGTCCCATCTGCCTTGCTCGTTGGGCACGGAAGACTCGACCACGCCGGCAGCACCGTTCAGGTGTCCTCGACGGCACGGCGTGCGAGGAGGAGGAGGAAGAGGAGTGCACACTCCAAAAGACCTGCTCAGGAGGCTCATGGTGTGCCAGAGTTGGCCTCTCCTGGGGGCGTGCCTCTGCCGCCGCTGGCGGCGCCGCCTTCGACTCGCTTCCGCCAGCCTCCGCGGACCTTCCGAAGCTTCCGCGGACCTTGCGCGAGCTTCCGGCGAGGGCGGAAGGTCAGATCTTGGGGGAGGGGGAGGAGGAAGAGGAGGAGGAGGAGGAGGAGGAGGAGGAGGAGAAGGAGGAGGAGGAGGAGGAGGGAGGAGGAGGAGGAGGAGGAGGAGGAGGAGGAGGAGGAGAGGAGGAGGAGGAGGAGGAGGAGGAAAGGGAAGGAGGAGGAGGAGGCGGAGGAGGAGGAGGAGGAGGACGAGGGGCCCGTGCGAGGCAAGGCCTTCGCTGGAAGGCCACACCGCAGGACGCGCCCCGCGGGCGATCGACGGAGCGGACGCGAGGACGCAAGGGCAGCGCTCGGGCTGAATCCCGCCGCGTGCTCGGTCCAGGCCAGGGCGCGGAGGGCGTTGGGCACCGTCGGCCCACAGGGCTCGGAATCCTGGCGTGCACGTTGTCGATGAAGTGCACGACCGTGTTCGGCCACGGGATGCTGTGCGCGCGCAGGAGCCATCGGCGCAGCGTCTCGCCCGCACGCACGTACATCACTGTGTTGAGGCACGCGCGACCCGCGATGACGTCCCACGCCCATCCCGGGCCCCATGCAGGACCGCGCCACCTCCAGCGAGGGCGCCTCCATCTCGCTGAACATCTGGAGCAGGCCGGACCTCCAGCGTGACCACTCTCGGGCCTCCAGCTCGCCGCGACTCTACTCGACAGCGGCGCGGCACTTCCGTGCATAGCGGGTTCCCACCAACGCGCGGCCCCTTGGCCGCGGAACGGCCTCACGCCACTCCAGCTCGCACAGTGCCAAGAGGCTCGCCGCTGGGCGTCCTCCAACATGGCCTGTTCGGGGCGGCCGTGGAGCGCCCGCAGCCGCTTCTGTAGCGGCTTCTCGGCCACCGCCTGGTCGACGAACTCCCTCAACGGGGCCCGTGCCTCCTCCACGCTAGGGTTGCGGCCGCCGCCACCTGTCCGAGCGTCTCCTCGAACTTGAGCTTCCTCGCCTGCAGCACCAGGCGTGAACAAAGGAGGCCACAGCCATGCAGCACCTTGCTGACCCGCCGCCGTGCGGCGTCGAGGGCGCACTGCCCAAATGCCAGCATCTGGGCCCAACCGTCGTTCAAAATCGACCGAGCGCCTGAGCCCAAATGGCAAAAGACGTCGGGCAGCTAAACGGGGGCGTCGTTTTCCCTTCATCGAGAAGTGTGCGAGGGACGCGCCGCAATGCACAGCTAGTCCAAATACGAGCGCCCCCACAGGCGCAGTAGCCCGGACTCCATGTCGGGCGAGAAGCGTGCAAGGGAAGTGCCGACGTGAGCGCTGGAGCGCACGCGACCGCTCTCCTCGGCGGGGGCT